ACAGGCCGAAATAATTACCCTCTGGTTATTTAACATAGCCATGGTATAGATGGCCCATAGAAATAGATGGTTTACCTATTAAAAATGGGTGGATCTTTCCATGGCTATGTTGGTCAGAACCAGATGGTACATGTAAGCTCAATTGGAAAACAAATGGTTCGCGCGGAAATAAACTCATCAACATCAACATATGGAGATGGGTCAAACCATGTTAAAACCATTCAAACCCCTGGCGGCCCCGAACATAGCTGGTATTGCTGGAGGTTCATCCCTCAACAGTCTCAGCATATATATCAACATATATGGTATAGTCCTTCCAAGAGCCATATCAGCATATACAATGCTAAAAACCATGAGGTAAAGTAGATAAAGTAGGACTTTTGATACCTTTTGATGGCTAGTTGGAAAGTTTAGAATAGAAAACTTGATCTGATTAGTGGTTTCAACCATCTTGAAAAATATGAAAGTCAATGGGAAGGATTATCCCATATATTTTGGAAAAATATAAAAATGAAACCACCAAGCAGTGATAGAAAATATATCGACTCCCAGGCTCAACTCCATGGGTGGAGGCTCGGTTTGAGACCAGAACTCGCGCACGCGCTTGTGTCGATTCCTTGAGATCGCCTGGGACTTCGCAGGTGGACATAGCTGGAACTGGGGGAAACCATACGATAGGGGGGGCCAGGGGGTATGACAATGGCTGAAAACAACAATGGGAAGTTAAGATAAGTTAAGGTTATAATTATATCATGTGATATTCCATTTTGTAGGTGTTGTATCCCATCTTGGGGTATAACTGTGGTAATCACTTCCACGAGATGGGATATAACCCCTATAGAACTACGGTGGCATATACAGTAACCCAGGCCAAACATGGAGGATTCAGCTGAGAAAATGTAGAACACATGACGTGAAGAGTTGACGTGAACTATCAATAACAGTAAGTATGATTCACTAAAAGCAGGAGCTAGCTGCTACTTCTGGGACGATTCTCCTGACTGAAACCTCAACATGTTTTTGCTGAAAGAGCACATTGTAGCTCCTACATTGCTCCTGCAGGGGTGTCCACAGTGGTTTGGCTCAAATTTTCTTGGGGCAAGTTACATCTTGGACTCATTGTCGCGGAAAAAAACGACTGGTTTCGATCTTTTTTTCTCTGCTGTTTCTCCGACAGTGGAGTCTATCCCAGCACCAGTTTTTCGGTTTCTATCCCACCAGAGGTATCCGAAAGCTCCGCTGACCGCGGTTTTTATGCTCCAAGTGGCAGTGGGCTCTGTAAGCACAGCCGGCATGGTGCTTCCTGACGTCGACATCTCTGAGCTTCAGGGGTTTGGGTTTGGTTAACATATAGCTAATATATTAATATATAGTTAATATAATTGTTAATACAGTTATGGCCATGGCTATTAGTTTTATAGCTGGTTATAAAACGATGGGATTATATATTTTATGATGGGGTTACCAGTACTTATTAACGGGTATTTCGGGCGGTAACTGTAAGGGACAAGTAAAACCTCAGAGTGTATGGCTGCAAAGAATTTCAATCAAGATGTCATGGGCAAAAACAAAACAATCCGGACACCAGCAGCAAATAACCATTTTATACAATTTCAAAAATCCAACTGGATTGATGTTTCGAGGACCATCGACAGCAACGCATGATGTTATTCGTTGCTGCAAGTTCCAATCGGAAAACTTTTAAATAGACTGCAACAATATCATGATACGATACAACTAAAATGTCGGCAGCTTCGAGGTAGCTTGTGAACATTGACCTGTTCTATAAATCACATGGTGTTTGTTGTCAAACAAGTATATAACATGTCTTAATCATCGTAATCCCATGTCCGTTGGGTGGGAGGCTCCCATCACCAAGATATACCAAGTCTCTCGGGCAAAAAAACGGGAATCCGTTTTCATTACCATGGGGTTACCCGGCTTATGTTCATCTCAGCCAGCCAGGGACTGGAAATCATGTTTTTTTATTTTTGATTTTTTTCATTTTGATCATCATTTTTTTGGCTTGAAAATTATCATTGCCTTTTTATCCCCGTTAAGTTTTTTCATTATTTGTTCATTCCTGTTTTTCCCCCCTTTGGCATTTTCATTTTTCTTTCCTTTGCTTCGAAAATGGTCCTTGGTCCTTGGGAATTGCCACCAGAGGCTTTTTCTCGAACCCTTTTCGTCTGTTTTTTCGATTGCTTTTGCGCTTTAGCTATTTTTCTTTCCTATGCCTTTAAAATTGACCTGGGGAATTGCCAAAAGGAGCTTTTTCTCGAACCCTTTTCGTTTTTCTCGTGTTGGCAATTTTTCCTTTCTGTGCCTTTAAAACTGACTTGGGGAATTGCCTTTTTCTCGAACCCTTTTCGTTTTTTTTCGTTTTGGTAATTTTTTCCTTTCTTTGCCTTTAAAACTGACCTGGGGAATTGCCAAAGGAGCTTTTTCTCGAACCCTTTTCATTTTTTTTCATTGTTTTTTTGTTTTTTCTTCGTTTTGG